CTTCTCCCCTCCTCCTGTGCTCTATACTATTCCCTCTCCCCTTCTATATCTTCAGAATACACTGATATTTCTCTAATGCCCCAATGTTCTTTCCAGTATTCTTCCTCCCACCCCAGCTACTCTTCAATTCCTCCCTTCTTTCTTCCTGAATATTTAGAAATTCCTTGATCTAAACAATAGCTAGGGCTTGGAATTCCCCTAATCCCAGTTTCAAGGCAATAAAATACTGAATGAATGATATCATGATCAATGAAAAGTTGACAGCAATTTTGGTGGATTCCCATGACAAATTCCCCCTTCCTGGCGCCCATGAATTGATTATGCCTACCCTTCCAGATTTGGTCATCTCCTCTTGGCAATTTAATTTCTACACTACCGAGACCCCCTGGGATCTCCATCTCTCTCTCTCTACCTTTATTTTTCCTTCCCATTTCTCCTTCTTCTTCGTGTCCAATTTGACAATAGGGTATCTCCCTGTCTAGACAGTCTCCAGTAAGCATTGCTTCTCCCTCTTAGGCACCATTAATTTTTTATTATTAGTGATGTATGTTTGATTTGATTTGATTTAATGTGCTCTCACTTCAGAACTGGATACAACTGCCTTTTTTTCGATGTATTGTTCTTTTCTGTATGTTCTATGATGAACGTCTTTTAGCTGCTATTTTGTGTATATTGTGGCTGCCATATATGTTTTTTATTATTAATTTCATCCCATTTTGTTTGCCTGACTGTACTTGTATAAAATGACAACTGCCAATAAATTCTTTGTTAAAAGAAAATGCTTTGATCTATGCAATTACCTTCTCATTTAAGCAATACCCCACAATGGGGTCTATGAGGTAAAGCCTCAGAATCTCTCCATACACTGCTCTGTTACAACTATTCCCAGTTCTATCATTCTGACACCATTGGTACATTGCTGTCAATTGTGGCTTCTGCTCATCTATGTTTTGCCTATGTCATAGATTGTTTTGTGTTTTGGGTGCCTGTATATATATGTATATACAGGCACCCAACACCACCCTACTACAAGATCTAAGCTAAGTTTGGCTCATATTTTATAAAATCAGGATTACATTGTAGGGTTTCCAAACATGAGCATAGTTAGTGCCCAGTATGTACAATCATGGCAACTTGTACAACTTTCTGAAAATGAAAAAAGGGGATGCCCTTTCCTAAAGGGTTCAGGGGACAGGGACTGTAGGTATTTTAAAAGACTTTGTACAAGCCATAAATGTGGTCCTGATCTTAAATGTGATCCTCTAAGAAAATGGGAAATAGTAAACTAAATACAAAATAGTAAACTAACTGCTGTAACTTCACATCCTGTTACTATATACCTTTTTTCTTACTCGTTGCCTGGAGGCCTCAAAATCAGTGTGCACACAAGCGCACCCCCTTGCTACCGACGTGGCAATGCTCAATACGAAGTGGGAGTAAGGCATAAGACTCAAAACTATAAATTGTCAAAAAGGAAAAATTTATTCTACTGGTTTGACATTACAAGTTCACCACAAAGCAGCAGCGCCCCCCCCCCCCCCCCCCAGTGTTTACCCAAATGTATAAGTCTGCATATAAGAGAAGTAAAAAGGGATCCAATGCAATTGTCATGAGAGTCCAAAAAGTCCTTTATTCTCGTCAAAAATAAAACTGAAAAGCAAATAGTAATGCGTTTTACTCCACCTACATCAGGGCTTGAAGTAATGTAATTTCAAGAATTTCTGGACTCCAACATGAAGCATTCTCTGCATTAACCTGATGTTATATCTATTATTTTTTTTAAAAACCTTTTGTGTCCAGGCATTCTTGAAGTGATATCACTTTCAAGGGGGAGTTTGTGGACCCCAGAAATGCACTGGCTGCCTTTTGCTTTCCTGCTGTTATTTGTGACAAAAATAAAGGACATTTTAGACTCTCAAAACATTTGCATTGGTTATATTTTTGGTTTACTTATATGCAGACTTACACATTTGGGTGAACACTTTATCTTGGGGAGGTTTCTGCCCAATCTCAAGTCAATCTGAAGCTTTTTGGTTCACTTATACACCGTAATGTTGACGAGTCTCTCATGCTAGGCTTGCACTGTGGGGTGTCGGCAAGGGGCATGTCTATTCTTCACTAGGTAAGAGTAAAGAAGGGATGGCACAATACTGACTTGCATTCTAATTACTCCCTGTGATGCTGGCTCTAAAGTACATGGCTTTGGGGGTTATACAGGTGGCACTTGAGTGAAATATCCTTTTTTTTGTTAGTTTACTAGATTCAGTTTTTTCTACAGTTCCCTTTAAAGGGACCAGAAAACTAGTACGTTCATTGAATTAATTTTATGTTTTGTTCAACTTGCTTTGGCTTCCCATCTCCTGAGATTTGCCCAGCCTGGATTTAAGACATCAGGACGAGGAGGACTAAATATTAAAGACAATTATACCATGTCTTGTTTCTCTGATATAGCTAGAGCAATTTATATAAGAAGACTAAAACCAAACGGAGCTGCAAGGATAGTCATATAATTGTCAAAGACTTACAGCTCCATCTTTTGTGGCTTACAGCTTGGTGCAATAGTAAATCATAGACAGGAATGAAAGGATTTATGAGTGCCTCTAAGGATTTTCTAGGTTTTTCATTTTAAATACTCTGAGTCTGGAAGAATAATTTACAGGGTTGAGAAGGCTCCACTCTCCTTTAGTAACTTGTCTAGTTATTAGAGTCTAATAATATTGGCTTCATAATGATATCAGCCACTTTGGGAATGGTGGTTATAATGGAACATGGGAAGAGAGATGCAGAAAACCATATTCTTGTGTGATATAAATTACCTTGCTAGCGATATTTTGCAAACCAATTTATGGATTTTCAGTGAAGTGAAGTCTCATACCAAAAAAAATAAAATGTGTACCAACAAAACATATATCTAAAATGTAGCATGGGCTATTTATGCCAGCCATAAGCCATTTTGAGTCTTACCGCAAGCTAGAGATCCATATTTCTTTGCATCCTAAAATATTATACAGAATTTGGATGTCTCAGTACTCAGTTTAAAGTTTTTCTATATATTTATTTTATTTATATTGTGCTGACAAGAGAAGTAACTAAAAATCACAGTTCCCCATAATAAAAGAGATTGATTTAACAGCGGTGTGCATAGGAAAATAAGGCAAGCCATAGAATATACAAATTTCTTTTCTTCCACCATAAGTCGAACGAAAGAAAATTGCTCGATTCACCCATCAACACAGTCAGTGTCGATGGGGGAATCCCTCCCGCAGCACTATTGTGTTCTGTCAGTGTGGAGCCTTCCCTGCCAGCAGAACACAATGATCACTCAGTTATCTCATGCAAGAACTTTAACAGGCTGGTTGCACTGAAGTCGATCCATTGACACTACAACTAGCCTGCCCATAGATAGATCGAATCTCTGCTAATCCAAGAGACAGAGAATGAGACAAAGAATGGCTGACCTGAAGAAAATAGGACTTCTCTAAAGGAGCTGAAAGAGCAAATACCGAGCAAAGAAACTGGCTAGTTTATCGATTTCCTTCCACATTCTCACTCATGTGACCTTGATATCCATTTCATGGGGCCGAATCTCTCCAGTCAGTATGAGGAGGGGTCATACACTTTTTTAAACAGTTCTGCAAATCAATTATATTTTTCAGGACCATCCCTGATTTTTAAAGAAGTGTCAGCACCCACCACCCTGCCACACATGCACACTAGCTCTTACCAGGGCCCCCTGCCCCCGGGCCCCATGGCAGCCACCTGGACTGCTGTGACTATAGTTAAACCTTTGGCTATGACTAGTTCTATAGCACTTTACAGGGTTCAAAGGCCTTTTATGTCTGTCCCTTCTCTATCACAGTTTACAATCTAATGTCTCTACCACATTCATAGACACATGCCCAGACAGTGGGTGGGTGAGAAGCAATTAATTCCCCATATTAATTTGATTTAATTTAATCTAATCTCATCTAAAATGTTTCCTTTTAGCCAAAAAGAACTATTAGAAATGCTGCAGCTACAATCATTATAAATTAAAATAAATACATACTCAACTGCTTGTTTATTATAATTTCAGGAATGTACACCCATATTTGTCACTATGCATTTGTTCTTCATATAGCTGGTATTTTCATTTTATTTGCCCAGCGTGGGTCCTAATTTGTTATCCTGGCTATAGACCCTGCTCACTCCTCTCTGTCTCAAGTACATCCGTTCCAACTTCCAGCATTTCTGAATATTTTCTCCAGCTAACACATTAGTTCATCATAGTTTTCGAGTTGAAGGTTAGGGCATTGCAGTCAATTCCTGTTGCTGAGTGATGCTTGTTTTTGTCAAGATTATTTGGCTTTTTTTTCTGCCTGTGTAATTTAGTAGTTTAGTCTGGTAGATGCTGAACACATGTAACTGTATGCAAGATTTTAAAGTGGCAAACAAATCTAATTTATCTCTATATCACTCACAAAGATCAATGCTTTTTTGATTTACCGTATTAATAAATTATAATGCTTCCTCTTTAAATGCCATTCAAGAATCCCAGCAAGTAAACAACTTTAGCAAGTCACATGGGTATTTCTGAGCAGCTTGAAAGTGTCAGAAATGTAAAAAAAAGAAACTCTGGATAGATTTGTTAATGATTAAAATAAAAGCACCCGTTTATTAAATTGTACTAGTAAATATCTGAATCTGTCTTTATATTAGTTTGGTGCAATCCCACGCACATCTACTGATGGCCAGGACCACAGTGCTACACTTATTGTAGAGTCTTCATTATAAAATGCAAAAACAAATAATAATAATAATAATAATGTGTTATAAAATATCTCTGATATATCTCTAACCCTATCTCATTACCTTTCCGTAGCCTCCCTGGCGATATTCCCGAGTGTAGCTCGGGATAAAGTTTCAGTACCACAAGCGGTAACCCCGAGCTACACTCGGGCTTACCATGCGGTGCTGCATCTGGGATCTGTTCTTCACTTACCTTGTCCTGTGCTCCCGCGATGTCCCTCCTGCAGTGTCCCCAGCAATGTCCTCCGGCCGATGCCGGCATCTGTCATCTGGGTTCCGTCCCCTGCGACGTCAGGACGTACGGGGACGGAACCGGCGGGAAATTTGAAAATGACAAAAAGTGACATTCACTAAATACACTGCAATCACATAGTAAAACATTCCTGTATCAAACCATTTCACATACATTTTGTCCCGAGTGCTTTGTCCTGTGCCCTGCCTGCATTTTTACTGTTCTTTCTGCCTGGAAACTGAGAAACGTCCATGGCGTCCAAAAAGCGTCCCTTTAGGTCAAAAGCGGTTTTAGACCAGCTAGAGAACAGCGATAGTAAATCAGAACCACTTGCAGAATTGGGTGATAATGATTCGTGGGGGAAATTCGTCATCAGACACTGAAAACGATTTTGTGACTGAGCTCAGTGATGTGCGAACTTGGCGCTATATTTCAAATTGCAGTGTTTTTTGTTTGATTACATTATTGAATTAAATTTATTAATATATTATTATTTTTTATGATTATTTATTAAATTATAATTTATGATTTCGTGTTTCAAATTTTATCATACCCGGGATGTTTACTAGACTCTTGTTCGGACAGATTTCAGTGAGTTATTTCTAAAAATTACAGGCCTACAATGAAAAAAATGACATATTTCCATGCAAAAAAAGTACTACTTTGAGCACAGAAATATGACCATAATCAGACCGCTAGGGAGGTTAAAGTGATATTAAACCCAAACATTTATTATACTGCAGCTAACCAATTCTTAGATGTGGTGGCTGCATTAGTAGCTTTTTTTTTGCTTTCTTTCCTTTATTTTCACCTGGTGATCTGGACAGTAATGCCGGCCAAAATTCGACCAATTTTCCATCCGACCTAAGAATAATCAGCTGATTTTCACTCTGTTAGTGGGTCAATGGCACCGGTTGATTTTCATGGTTTCTCCCCTTTTTGGTAATCGGCATGTTGGAAAATTTGTGAAAAACGACCGATTTTCGACTCAATGATGGTCAAATCGTATGATTGTTTTTCCGAAAAGAATATGCGCATGAGCCGTGACCTGGAAGGAACAGATGTTTTGCCTGTTATATGGGGTGAACTTTATGACTTGGTCGGCCGATTTTCGAAATCATTGATGGCACCATCGGATTGATGTTTTGATTTTCGAACGCAAAATCGTTCAGAATTCGACCCATGTATGGCCTGCATTAGTCTGTTGTTTTTCAAAAGACCAAAATATAGCAGTTAGAGGGTTGAAATAAGTAATTTACCATTGACAGGGGGGGGGGGTTAAAATGATCAGCATTTACTTTTATATAAAAGCTTTATCCCTGAAGGTAAGAAAAAAAATGTTTGTTGTAACTGCTTATAAAGTGTTAGCTGGTGTTTGGCTTCAGTTTGTAAGTGTATCTAAATCTGACAGTCCCATCCCTCCAGACTGACAATGTTGCTGTCTGCTGTGTCCCCTGTGCTCATTCATCCAGAGCAGGGGAGATCTAATACATAAAGTGTGTTACTGGCCAGATCAACAGGTAAACTCCAAAGGAAAAAACTTACAAAATGAAAATGAATGCAGCCACCACATCTAATGATTGGTAAGCTGCAATATGTTACTTTATTGGTTTTGGGTTCATTATCGCTTTAACACTCAACCATTACAATTAACCTAATTGACCCAAAAATAAAACCCTGATTCTCATCACTGGATTAATCCCCCGTTCACACTGGTGTTCATGCAATTTGACAGTTCCAACTACCATGACAAGTCACACCCTATTGCCGACAATGGGCCCCTTCATATCACTTTGACTCATGTTGCAGCAATTATGAAAAAGATTCCTGCACTATTTTTTGCCAATTTAATTGTGACTTACATAGACTTCTGTTAAAAGAAATTGCAAGCCGCAATGAAATCGGCAAGTGCTAATCGCACTGATCTGCGTCTTTGAAATTGTGTTTAAGTAGCATGATTTCAAAGCTGCTCCAATGTGAACCAGGGCTTAAAGCTTATTTCCCTCTATGCTTATTTCATCCCCTCCCACCCCATGCCCCCTCTACAAGTTATTTATTGATTTATTTTTCTTTCACCATGATGTCCAGCACTGGGCATCATTTAAAGTATCTGTATATGCAGTAAAGCACGCTTGCTGTACTCACTGTGGAACTAAAGGGTTAATCCTCCGCATTGTATAAAAAGGATGTCCTTTTATGATAGATTAGAGAGCCTTGGGGACAAGCTGCACATGCTCAGTTTGGTGTGTATTGCTAAAGAGTTTTTGTTTTCCTTGGGGTAGTGCGTGTGATCAGCACAGGGCCAATCAGCGCTGTCCAGACAGAGGGTCAGGTGTCTTGCAGCCTCATAGGACAGTCAGGGGAGAATGAAAACTCTTCCTACAAGCTTTAACCAGTGCTCTGCTGGACACTGATAGAAGTCACAAGACCGCTGTAACTGCTGATGAGAAAAGGTATTTAGCAGTTTATAGTTACTAAAATAATTGCACTTCCATGTTCTGTGTACTGTGGGAGGCCGAATAAAGTGAATGCAGGGTCCTGGGTTTAGTAACACTTTAACCTAGTAGGAAACCAATGCTGGACTTTGGAGCAGCCTGTGGGGATCAGTTCCAGAATGATGAGTATGGCAGCCAAAGGCTACTTTTACATAAAGCCTTAAAGGATAAGTTCACCTTTTGTAACGTGTTACATGTTACAACCAAATTTAGGATGTAACATGTTATGATCTGACCAGCCCCCGTCCCCCCCCCCCCCCCCCCGATCCCCGCTTTGACAGCTAGTGGGAGATCTTCTGCCCCCCACCACTAGCTGTCAAATTTGAAAAAAAAATTGGCCGCATCACTCATTCACAGCATTCTGTGAATGAGAGACTACAAGTCTCAGCAGCCTTAGTGGCTGTCAACTTGCAGTCCTCAATGAACTACCACGGCGCTATAGAGCGCCGTGGTAGTTTGGTGATTCTTCCTGTCAGTATATCTGCTTGCTCAAACATATCATATGAGCAAGCAGATATTCTGACAGATCTGCAGGAGACCTGCATGGCACCTGCTTTCCAGGCTCCTGCAGAACAAAATAATAAATGCACATTTTTTTACCTGCAAAAAAAATTTGCATTTATTATTCTTTACTAAAAGGCAAACATATTCTTTAACCTGAACCCTACAATTCATGTAATCACCTAAAATAAGTTTTTGCAGAGGGGAATGTCGAAATCCAAGCCTGACATTTACACTAACAGTTGAGATTTCAATATAAACTCAGATGTCTATATTTCTTAGATCTACTGTACTGATCATTCTGTAGATTTATCTGAAGGTAACCTCTGCTTATGTCTATTCTTTCATCTTATGTTCCCTTAAACCTAACCTTAATTTTAACACTTATTTATTAAATCCTGAATATTTGACCCTAACCTAATGCCTAACACAAATTAAATCCTGCAATGGTATAATGCATGTTCAGTGTCAAAGTCACAGTGAGACAAATCATACAGTCTGCTACTATATAAGCCAGTTGAGCACTGGAGCTGTTTGCTTTATCAGAAACATATTACTAGATTTCACCAGCAGGGGGCGGTGTGGGTAAGATTTGTAAATTTACCTTCTGCCCTATAAAATTCAGCTGGGTGCTTCAGGGCTAACACATTGCTGGGCAGAGGGAAGGGAACAGGTTTATTTTTAATGTCCTATTTATGCCAGACGTAACACACCTATTTCTTACCATGCCTTAGTTATAATATGCAAGTAATCATAACTTACAAACTGTTGCACCCTTTCAGGGCTTGGCGTTAGGTATGTACTGCTGGCTGTACAGTTGCTATATTTGCTTTCATTTCAATTGTTATAACACATAACAAAAAGGAAAATTTTTTTATTTTAGGCTCATATGCTTACAATTGAGTGAATTTGCTGGAAAACAAATTGCCGCCCTGCTAAGCTTTCCCACTCTACACTCTGGTTAATTTTTTTTTCCACAAATCATGTCCTACTCTCATTAATTCCTGTTGCGGTTTTGTTTTCAGTGCTGGACAGAGAGAAGTACAATTACAGCATACAAAGGTACTTACAAAACAGCTGCTGGATTTTATAAAGTTGCCAATGTAAATGATGTCAGCAGTAGGTGGCGCTATCAATGAAGTCTGCAATTTTAGCTCCTGGTCAAGTAACTGTTGCAGCTGGAATGACCCTACACAGATGTGCTACAAGCAAACAAGGGATTTGCAGGATTTGCTGATTTCCTATAAAGGTAAACTATAATGGATTGTATTCGTTTTACTTATTATTGTTGCAAGTTTATCAACTGATCTGTTATGTCACCTTATTGCTTATTACCTAGGCAATGCACATTTAATACACTTCCATGACATTGTGTTTGTAGAAAATACTGAGATTTTGAAAAAGAGGGCAGATGGTCACATCTGGACTGCCTCTCTCTAGATCAGTGGTTCTCAACCTGTGGGTCGCGACCCCTTTGGGGGTCGAATGACCCTTTCACAGGGGTCCCCTAAGACCATCAGAAAACACATATTTCCGATGTGTAAAGAGCAGTTACTGTGTAGAAAGCAGCTGCTGTGTTGAAAGCAGCTACTCTGTTAAAAGCAGCTACTGTGTTGAAAGTAGCAGTATTGGAGGTAAAACGACACTCATGAATTATAATTACTGGGTAAATAATTTTATGGTTGGGGGTCACCACAACATGAGGAACTGTATTAAAGGGTCACGGCATTAGGAAGGTTGAGAACCACTGCTCTAGATTAAACTCCACACATACCAACTGTAGAACCAACTGCAGGGGATCAAGCTGGCTATACATGGATCGAATTGTATTCTATGGGAGGCCCTGTTGATACCAACCAACTAAACAAATGTCAATTTTTGTTGAAAGAGCCAGGTAGAAAATTATTGGCTGAATAGCGCCTGCATCCAATGAGATGCAGACACTGTTTGGATATTCAGACAGCCATGGCCAGAATGCAATGGCTGGCACCACTGCTGCATCCATACATGCCATTTAGGGTGCATGGGGACTCAAGAGATTTCTCTTATTCAGCTCGTGGGTTTGAACAAGAATATTCTTAACGTGGTCAGCCTAAGAATACACTATCCTGCTGCATTTGCTTTATTTAAACACAGAATAAATTATCTGGACAAATGTTTTATAATAATAAAAATTATTATTATTATAAATCATGTTTCCAAGTAATTTCTTCTGTGTTTAAATAAACCACATTTAAAAATAAAAAAGAGGTATATTATTATTATTATTAGTAGTAGTAGTAGTATATATGATGATTATTATTATCATTATTGATATTATTATTATTATTATAGTAGTAGTATTA